CGCCTCCACCACCTCCACCGCCATCTCCACCCCGTCCAGTGTCTCCACCTTCTTACGTACCACCACCGCCACCGCCACCACCACCACCGCCACCACCGCCACCGCCACCGCCACCACCACCACCACCGCCACCACCACCGCCGCCACCACCGCCACCACCACCACCGCCGCCACCACCACCGCCGCCACCTAATTATTTACCACCATTACCACCACCGCCACTACCACCACCGGCGCCACCACCATTGCCACCACCACCAATTCCGCCACCATCACCACCATTACCACCTCCGCCACCTCGGCCACCACCATCACCTCCACCTGTTCCACCCCCTCCTCCGCCGCCACCATCCCCACCTCCTCCGCCTCCTCCGCCCCCTCCCCCACCGCCACCTCCACCCCCTCCCCCTCCCCCACCTCCGCCTCCCCCTCCCCCGCCCATACCAATTTACGTGCCTTCGACAACTTCATCTCCACCGATACAAGTTTCTACACCAGCGCCAACTTATCTACCACCATACGATCAGGAAATCCAAGTTTCTCAAGCTCCCGCTTCTTACGCATCAAGCATGGCATCGGCGATATCGTCCAGCAATGCGGTGACCATAGTTGGACCAGATGGATATAATCCTGTAACAACAACATCTGCACCATCTTATATGGCATATGCAAGTTCATACGGCTATTCGACACCAAGCCCTACTGTTGGTTACAGTTATCCAACCCCTGCACCTGCTCCAGCACCTAGTTATCCTGCTCCGGCTCCTGCACCTAGTTATCCTGCCCCGGCTCCTGCACCTAGTTATCCTGCCCCGGCTCCTGCACCTAGTTATCCTGCCCCGGCACCTGCACCTAGTTATCCTGCTCCGGCTCCTGCACCTAGTTATCCTGCTCCGGCTCCTGCACCTAGTTATCCTTCACCAACTCCTACACCCACTTATCCAGCGCCTACGACTCCTGGATATGATTATTCTCCAATGGTTAGACCTACTTATCCTGCTTCGGCTCCTCCACCCAGTTATCCTAGTTATCCAGCTCCAGCTCCAGCTCCAGCTCCAGCTCCAGCTCCGAGACCAATCTATTCTTCACGGCCTGGACCACGTTATCTACCTCCAATTGCTTAGATATAATTATTTTACACCGGAAATTATTTATCGTTATCCAGGTGTTCAATTCAGCTAATCTGTTTGAACTCTGTAATCAAGCTTTTTTTTTGTCAGATAATTTTATCGTTATAGTTTATATTTAGAGTTTTATTATCAAATTATGTGAAACTATATTAAATAATAATTGCACACTATTTCTTTTCTGTTTATCCTGGAGCTGATTTGAATTAGATTTAATTTTTATGTAGCATCTGTGGTGAAATTGTGGATATTGTAAACCGTGTGTATTTTTAAAATTATAATGTAGCATTTATATGATGTTTATACGTAATTGTGAGACATTTAATTTTGTTTATATCAATGTAGTATATAATGTAATGAGTATTTACGTAAGTTTAGTTGGATGTAATATATTTAATAAATTTTTTGTGTGCAATTTTATATATTGAATATTTTGTATAGTAGAATTTTTACTGCAATAGATTACTTTTTCTATTATTCATTCTCAATTCAATTGATAACAGAACAAGATATTTATATACAATAATCAATAGTTAAATTTAAATTTCTTGTAAGATGTAATTTTCCTCTATTTATATTTAAAATATGTAATTATGCAAATTATGTAATGAAGTTATATGAATTATTGTATGAATTTAAAAACATTTTTCTGTTAATACGCGTTATGTGGAACTAAAAATAAAAATTATATGATATTTTTTTCCTAATAATTAAAAGGAAAAAAATTGTGTAAATATTTCTATTCAATTAATTCCCCAGTATAAAATAGAATATTTCAAAAATCGCATAAAAATAAATATTAGTTAAGAGATTATGAAACAATTAAAGCAGATTAACCACGTATATACATTTATTAACAAAACCATTTTTTTTTTAAATACAGTTTGTACGATATCAGCTAATGCGACTATAATGAATATCACAGCATTTTTCAGGTAGACATTCTATATGTCAGTCTCAGTAGCTTAAAATTATTAATCAACTAAACACTACGCTTATAACATATTTGAGTAAATGATGAGTACTCATCCCATGAGTTAATAAATCTCCATTTGAACTGGTATGTAGCTCGTATTAAACAAGCATATGTTTCCAAACCAAAACATAAGTTAATTCCGGGCTACATTTAATCGAACAGCCATAATCCAATATGTTAGCGTGTTATATCTAACAGGATATGACTATGTACATGTATCTTTTATAATTATTATTTTAATTATCCCGATCTACGATACAATAAATGAAAGTATATTAAAACAGACCAGTCCTTTTTAAATGAAAACCGAATATAATTTTGCTAATTACTTATTATACTTATAACATTGACAATAATAATAATAATATCGAATTATGCACGAGTTTTTACACTTTTAATTTTACATATATTGCAAATAAACATTTGATTGTTTAAATAATTGATACAAATTTAGCGTAATGGAAACACAATGTTTACAAGTCATGAATTTTTCAAAAAAACTCATAGATGGGAAATTATTATCTCGATAGTTTGAAACGAAAGTTAATAAAAATAGTCAATATCACAATTATCGTCTTAAAGAAATTATTTAATTAACATAAATCTAATCTCGATTCACGTGAACGTATAACGAGTATAACGAATATACAAAAAATGAATTTCCACGTTGATTACGAATCATTGATTAGAAATTAGAAAGATTTTGTTAATCGTTGAAAAAATATTACATTTGTTGGGAAAATATAAGTAAGTTATTGTAGTCAATTATTATAATCGTGAAACGTAATAACGTGCTTTAAATTGTACGAAATATATATACATCATATCCTTTAATGCAAGAACGAAATAAAAATAATAACGATACTTCGATCGTGTTTACTTTAACAAAACATGATGATATAATTTTAATGACTTTCCCTTTGATTTATCGAATTTCTGTATAATTTCATTCGTCTCCAGTTTCTGTTAGCTTGTCCAGGCAATCGTACGATTTCGATTGAATAATATATCTGTAACATAAATATTTTCTGATTTATATATCGAAACATAAAATACAAATTCGTAGGAAAAATTGATTTCAAATCTGTTAGTTTTAAATCTATACTTTTAACTATTGAACAAATATTTTATAAAAATATTAGTCCAAAAGATGCGGTTAACAGTAAATTATATCAATTAAATTATTCAATCCATTTAAATTGTCTTATTAAATTAAATGCATCATTGTTAAAAGCATCAAATTTTTTCACTCAACAAACTTGCCCAAAGAAAAAAAACTCCAAAGAAGAAAGCAAAAGAATTTTAAGCAAAAAGCAATAGCAGTAGACGATTAAAAAAGCAAAGCACCAGAACTAACCCAATGTTATAGACCATCAATATTCTTTATCGTCTGTGACCCAACCGTTTATGCGTCGGGTCTCTACGACCCACGTGAAGAACCATCTTCCCAGCCTTGGCAGCTTTGAAAGTTTGCAACGCCTTCGCGTGCGTCAATCCATCCATCGAGATTCCATTGATTGCTAAAATCTCATCTCCCACTTTTAAAGTTCCTTCTTCAGCCGCTTGTCCTCCGGCCATGATGTCCTTCACGAAAATACCCATCGATCCTTTATTGCTATCCGATCCACCAACAATGGAAAAGCCCAACTTTTTCGAGGCACCCTTCTCCAAGGTGATAGTCAACAAGTCCATCGACAAACTGGTAGCTCTACGTGGATAGGAAACTGGATTGGTGGCTCGTTTCCTCACCACCTGAAACTTCCTCATACCAGTCATCTTTTGACCTTGAGATTCCTTCTTCAACATACGATCACTCTCGCATTCCATCCTCTCCATCGAATTCGCGGATAAATTCTTGCCATCCTTCATCAATGCACCGACTACTTTACACTGGGAAGAATCTTTTTCTCGAGCGACACTGTTCACGGGGACTTCCGATTTTTCTTGTTTCAACGCCCACACCTCGGAGTCGCTACGAGTGCGGACCAGAATATCGCCCCACGTGTCGCCTATCTCCTCGCCAAAAGTGAACGTTGGTTCCCTGGCTATCTGAAGCTCTACGGTCCCTGAACAATTTTTCAAAGCGTTCCTAGCTTCGATGAGCGACATCCCACGCAGCCTACGTCCACAAACTCGAACGATCTCATCACCGATCCTGAATTGCTTCGACTTCGCCGCCTCTCCATTTACGTCCATCTTCGAAATCACGTAGAAAGGTCGAACAGCCTCTTTTCTTTCCACGAGAATGCCAAGGCTGCCAGGCTTCTCCACGGACAACTTCATGGTCTTCAACTCGCGACGTACCAATGTCTTATTAGCTGGGGTTGAAATCGGTGTTAGATGATCGATTTTAATCTCTGGCTCGGATTTCTTCATTTTATTCCTCGCGTTTACAACCTCGGGACCTTCAGGCTCCAAATTCGAACGCGATCTCTTTGGACTGTAGTACTCCAGCGGGCTGTTTACGATCGTCGAATATATTTTTGACGCCGGTGGACTATCTTTGCAGGGGGATGCAGCGTTCTCTAGTAAACACAAGGTGCTAGAATTGCTGTACCTTTTACATTTGACCGGTATCTGGGACTTGGTCTCCTTTAAATTTTGCAACTTCACCGCTTGCAATAGCGACGTCGTATGCTCTGATTTTGCGAATCTCTTATCCGATATCCTGATGAGCTCGTTGCTTCCAGAAGATGTTCTTTTATCTAAGTTCCCAGTCGACGACGCTGAGAATCCTCTTGATATTCCGCTATCGCATTTTCCCAAAGTGTTCGCGGTGGATTTTGTTTGCTCAACGCCACAATTCATTTGGTACTCCGCGAATCCTTCGAACGTATCCTCGTCACAGCTGTCCGTGTCTTCTTCATCCGATGGTACCGTGGTTGTGTTTGTTATTATCGTCCCATTTAGCATAGCATTGTTCACGACAGTGTCTTCGAGGCAAGATGGACCTGACTCGTTTTTCTCCGTTTCTGTTGTCACGTCTTTCTTTATGGGGGTAGTGACTGGTAGTGACAAGTCGATGCCATGATAGTCGTCCGACGTTATGGAAAAGCTACGGGGTTTTAACATTGGTGGACACTTCTCGCTATCTGGAGAATCAGCTCCAGCTCGTGTGCTGTCAGAGTCGTAGCCACTTTCATCGCAAGCTAATCGTAGGTTGCTCATCAGATCATCCAGGCCAAATGTTGGAAAAGATCTCTGATTATCAGGTCTGAAAATGAAAGAGATTTAAAAGAATAGGTTCTAATAAATTCTATTATCTATATTCCACTATTTTTATGATAAAAACGTTATACTTCTGTTTTAATAGTGAATGAATGTTTTTAAAAATTGATCTTGATTTTTCCATTTACTTAATCAACCCTTAAATGAATATTTCATTATTTGAAAGCATATTAGTAATATGTAAATAAAATAAGAATCTAAATGCATATATATAAGTACATTTTTAAGTTTAAAATCAATCAATCAAGAAATGTGGAATCATAAAACAACTCACCTGTCGCATTCGCTGCTACTCGCACGAACATTGAACAAATTTTTCTTAATATTATTAAGCTGATTACTGAAAAAGTCTTTAGTCTGAGTGGAAACGCTGCTTTTACCAGCCTCAGACGTAGATTGATTGCTTCTTTTAGGACTCGTATTCCTTCGCTTAGGACTCGTACTTCTGATTTTGTCTAACGTTTCCTTCGCGAAAGCTGTTCCTTCCTGCGTTTTAAGCATATCCTGATTCTTCAAGATATAATCTAAAACACGTTGCTGCTCTTGGAGGTCCTGGATGCTACGACTCAGCTGTTTCTTCTTCTCCAGAAGAATCGTTCCACGGTCCGTTCGATTGTCGTCCGAGCTGCCACAAAAGGATACATTCTTTATAGCACCCTCGCTTAAAGCTTTCTCCATTGGATAATGACTGATACAGGTGACGTCTTCCTCTTGTATCGTCACGTTTCTGGCTGACATATCGCTGCTTCGCTCGTTGCTCCTGAACAAATTTCGTAACGATTCCACCCTGGAAATTCTCTTTGGCTTTGGTAATTCCGAGAAACCGCCGGTTCCCTGAAATTGATAACAGATTTCTAAGGTTAAAATTGAAGAAAGATGTAAATAAATAATATAGAGAATATAATTCTTAATAACAATTTTTTTTTTTAAACTTGTATACTGTTTTGTCTTGGCTTGTGTTGGCCCTTGTATGTATACAATATAATCAAGGAGTTAACAGTATCTACAAATACATATCTTAATATATTACAAACAGATATCAGAATTAAAATATTTAATAATATGAAAATTCTGTTTGAATATAAACCAATATAAATTTTATCAAAAATACCTGCTTGCGTGTTTTCAGTAACTGTAGAATTCAAACAAAATCTGATTCAATTTATTTGAATCTATGTGTATATTGCAATAATATACGATAGTACGATAAAATATTAAGATTTCTGTAATAAAAATGTGAAAATTTAAATTTCCTTCAAATTATTCTTCATAAAAAAAAATAGGAATAAAAAAAGGATTAATTGGTTAAGTGCTAATTATTTATTAGGTCAGGAAAGATGCGGTGAGAGAATAAATGAGAAAGTAGCAGACTTACGTTTTCTTTTTCGTCTGTTGTGCCAGCTTTCCGATTCGGACTCCACCTTCTCCTTCGGCCCGAAACCGAAAGCAATTCGGAGCTGTCTGATCTTTTCAACTGATCCCATCTTCGACCTACTTTCCTGCCCCATGTCGAAATTCCTGTGAAACCAGACTCGATAATGTTAATTTTCACTCTGCAATCGTATCGATCGATTTGAATCGTACGAAAAAAAATGACGAAAGTAACAAAATCTGTAATTTCTAAAAATTAAATTTTAATAATACATTAATATTTTTCTTAAACTAAATTTTCCACAATACCATAATATTATAACATCTTTAATCTTTAATCTATATATCATCCATCTCAAATTTTTTTTTACCGTTCCAGATTTATCAGATTTAAAATTATTTATCGAAACATTACCAGTTTTAATAAATTCGTGAGTTTAATTTGTTTGTTACCTTTGCGATTTGAAATAGTAGACGACGATTTCAGTGTTTCATTCGCATTTTCTTTCACCGTCCGATTCAATCCATCGTTTTCATTATGAGGCTTCTTACTGCTACGTTCGAGATTTTCTTCTACCACTGTCAGAGGCGATGCTCCATCATGAGATAACGGTGTAGCCGAAACTAATTGAGGGCTCGTATCAGACGACTGACGCTTGAACAGACGCATCGCGATAGCCTGGAAAAAAAGAAATGGTGATACCGAGATTGACACATTGAAATAAATAAATATTCACCCAATGAAACTCACTGTTTAGTTTTCTTTCATATTTCTTTCAATTCATGAATCGTATCGTATCTTTCTCAATAACTATTGCATTGGATATTTAACGTAGCGAAAATATTGTATATTGCAGTATATTGGAAATTTAACAATCATTTCTTGATAATTCAAGAATATTATTATTTTTTTTTTTTTACTATAAAATTGATTTATACAGAGTTAAGAAAAATACAAAACTTAATAAGAGTAATACTTGCATACTTTCAACGCACAAAAGAGGAATTTTCTTCGCTGTTCGTTAAAGATGATGATGGAGCAAATGTAATACACTGTGGAAACATCGGTATCTAGTATTTATTAGAGTTAAATGTAACAATAGATAAGATTCGCGAAACTTGATGTCTCATTGTCAATCTTTTCGAAGAAAACATAAACTAAAAACACGATTAATCTAAAACAAGCAGTGAACATTTTTAAAAAATTGAAAATATTCAAAGTTGTTATTCCAACAAATATTCACATTGTTATTTCAAGTAATTATTAGCTTGTTGTACATAAAATTCCCGACCTAACAAATTTATTCTAGCGAGTATTTAATGATTATATTTCTTTTTTGTGAGATATAATAAATGTAATAATATTTATTATGTACGAGTTAATATCGCGCATTACATTACAACTTAAAATTGGCTGAATATACGATCGATATCTTATCACTTGTTTTATTATATTATTAAAACGAGTTACAGTCGAATCTGAATGTTTTTTTCATATAATTTATTTAACATTCATACGTAATATATTGTATAAAAATTGTTGAAATTTATTTTTTTAACGTATAATTACAGAAAAATCTAAAAGATCAGATAAAATACAAGATAAAATTTATCAGTGATAAAATCAACTAAAAATTTTTCGATAATTATTATTATCTTGTTTCACTATGAATCAATATGAATTTCATCAATGAAATCTGAATCATATTCTTGATTAATAATAATAATAATAATAATAATAATAAAGCTATAAACTCGAGAATTTTTTGACAGAGTTTAATATTAAAAAAAAAAAAAATCGAATTCCTTCCACGATGAACAAAAATAAGAAAAATAAGCGGAAGAGATAAATCAAAGAAGAACGTTGAAATAGGACTTGAAAGAAGAGGCGTAAAGTTCAGCAAAATCATCTCACGATCACTTTCCCAGCATTCCAAGGATGTTTAGCAACATTTTCCAACCAGACAACTATCATCTCGTCTACGAACGAAAGAGGAGAAGTCTCCCTTACTCGCGCCAGTTTTATCACTACCACGGTTACGCCTTTACGGTTGAACGTGCGTTACCGTTCCCAGCTTCGAATTACATCCATCTTATATCGAAAACGAACGACCGCTTTGACCACGGCCTTCCTCTCAGATTCTACCAACCGTCCATGCACTATTTCATCGCGTATCTTTCGTCGCTGTGAACGATTAGTAACAATACGTATCCTTCGATATTCAAATGCTCATTGACCTCACTCTCGTCCACAGTCCATGATACAATGGACAATTATATCTAAATCCTCACTTTTTAATTGTATCATTGATAGAATGAAATATTCCCTTCTATCTTGAAAGAATGAATATTATTAATAATCTTCCGTTGTAAATTAGTTTATTCTTAGAGAAACAAATCTTCGTTCGTTAATTCTAGTTTTGTTAACATTTGTTAATTTCTTACAAATCTAATTATCATTTTGATAAATCTAAGAATGTTAGAATGTTAAATTTAAAAAAATATAAATCGGTTTCTCCCCGTGTTCTTTAATATTAAAACCACGTAACAGAAATCCCTTTGGCGGAGAATCTAAGATAATTTGATTAATTTCATCAAGTTTAGCTTCGAAACGTTGGATTAAATAATAAATTTGGTGAAAAACAAGTATGATATCTAGTACAAATATTGAACAGAAACAGACGCGTTTAAACACAAGTAAAAGATCACTATTGAATATCGAGCATATTACCATGTATCATTACGAGGAAGATACACTCTATCGTGGCTATTAATCATAACCGTCGTGAATTAATGCTACTAATAAAAACCACGACATTAATGTATATTAGTAACGTTAAGATTACAAACTGTGTATACCTTCTCATCGTTTATAACACTGTACACGCGGTATTAAATTCGCACCGATTCATGTACTAAATGATACGGTGAATGTAAAAAAGAATTATTATTTATTTGATCGTTCAAACCAACGCGATTTACGAATTTATGAACCATTAAAACGAACGATGAATTTCTATCGCAATCTATTTTGCACATTGCCTAAAAATATTCTTCCTACATTATTGCGTCGTTAGTTTCGTGATTTAATCCTTAATCGTATCGGCAATACGTCGTATAAACTTGCATCGATTAAATTTTCAAAATCGGAAAATCACAAATCGAAGAAAAAAATTTTGTAAAATTAGAAATTACGAAATTAGTTTTCTACAATCTTAAGAATTACATGAAATATAATACAATTCTTCCTAACTATACATTGAATAGCATTTTAACATGAAATAATACGTACTATGCGGTAATTGCTTCAGGAGTTATCCTTATTTTTATGATGCTCTAAACTCTAATTACTTTAAGTATTAGGTACTTAAACCCTGAAGTATTCTAAACACAATGTTGCGTGCTTTAAATCACTCCTAATTGCTGTAATATTGTAAATTAAGTAAGACTAAAAAAAAAAAGAAAAAAAAAGAAATATAATTCATACTGGATACAAATATTCTTCGATATTTCTAACAAAAATGGCGAGCATTATCGTGTAACGGTTACGTGATTACAAATCATCGTAATAAAAATTCCCAATGAAAAGTTCACCATTTCCTTCATCAATTTCACTCTCCTATTACTTTCGATAAATGTCATCCGTTATATATAGAAAAACGTTTTTCAATGCTATATTCAATGGATTCGAAAATAAAAAGTGCTCAAATTATTCGGAACACGTTCGAAACTATACAATACGCGCAATATTGTTTACATATTATTTTATATTACCGCGTACATACACACAATTGGCCTCGATTCGGCTATTAAATTTTGAAAAAATTTCACATCATTTGTATATCGTGAACGGTTGAGAAACGCTGATGTAGTCAGTGGTGATGGAACGTTCTGGGATTGGAGAAGAAGGAACAGGGTGTGGAGACAGGGAAAAAAGTGCATGTAGTGTGCCCACGTGTGTCCGGAGCCGGCCGTATAAGTGCATATCACATACGCCACATGTCACGGCACGCGTTTTTCCGAGACGAAACGTGCACAGGAGCTCGCGTGAAAACGGCCGAGAGAATACTCTTCTCGTGCACGTAACGGATCCGAATTTTCGAATCTTCGTTAAAAAATCATTAGCCTCATTAGCATATTAGATTCAGAGTTGAAGTTATGTATTGCCTCGATAATTATCGCAACGGATATTTTTTTTTTTCATTCACCTCTTGAGTTCATCATGTAAGAATAAGTAAAATTGAGTATTATTTTGATGTTCTTGAAATTGTCTAACAAGTATTAGTATAATTCATTAGAACATGTTTAGTATCAGATGTTTAGAATTATTTAATCTAACATTTCGTAAATTTTAAACTACTTAAAAATTAAAAATCAGTACAGACTTTCTCTCAGCGAGTTTGAAGCCAAGACTGAGATTATGATACCTTTTAATCGGTCAATGGACAATTAGTGGATATTAATAAAATTTCTCCCGTGACTTTCGCTGAGTGACATTTAAGTTATAGCTGCTTTTTAAAACGTATCATTATTTTAACATTGTGAAACGATGTTTCAGATTCCAAAGGTAATTTTTTGCGCCCGAGCTATAAATCTTCTTGCGCTTCCTCACAGTCGAATTAAGGTGTTTAATAGTTCTTTTTTTTTTTTTTTCGGACGAGCATCAGGTTATACGATATAAAACGTACGTAAACGGGACCTCTGATTGCGGTAAATTCACCGATTCATTTGACACGGATGTTTGAACGTAAATCTTGATTCGTGCAAAAACTTCTAATGTAGTTTGTAGTTATGGATAACCAGAGAAAGAGAACAGTGAACTCGAAATGGATATATTTAGCACAGATGATTTTTGAAATACAAAATTAATCTATAAATAATGAAATTTAAAATCGATGAAAAATTTGTTTTAAATAAAACAGATATAGATATTAAATTTTTTGAAATAATATGCATTTATATTTTATATTTATTTTAGTGTATAAAATATAAAAATCATGTTCTCTTCAAGTAAAACAAACATTGAAATTAAATCTCTCCTTAATAACATAACCATAAAAGAGATGATAAAAAATATTTACTATAAAACCTACTATAAAACTTCTTTATATCTCAATCTTTATTAAAAATAAACGAATATAGTTGCAAAACAAATGAAAAAAAAAAACATTCCTCTCAGTTTAATCCCTCCAAACAAAGTCATACCGAACTGCGATCAAATCTTATTAAACAAATCAAAGAAATACCTTCGTCCTAATCCGTGTCTTCGTCCAAATCTCGCAGGCAATGTCAAATCTTCTTCCAAATCCCTCCATCCGTCTTAACACCCTTCCCTCACGATCCCCTCCACGATCGAGAACGAGAACATCGAGCCATCCCTTGGACATCCTTTCGCACACCTTGGTGTATCGAGCTCACGATCGTTCCCATAAAAACCGAGGGTTCGATCGTCACGATTCCATGGAAACGCGTAATGTAACAGGCACCGATTAAACGGTATCGAGTTACAAAGGAAGAAAATCACCACCCACGCGTCTCCTTTGAGAAAAACCAGCGAGCTAGAACGAAGCCCCGACCACGATGCACCGACTGACTGGCTTCTCTTCCCGAGTTTTCATTCATACGGCCGTGCATTACACCGAAAACTTCGTTCCACACGCCCCCTCCTCCCACTACACT